TAATTTGTGCCAGTTTTGGAAAACAAGTTTCGCCCAGTTAAAAGAAGTCGCTCAATATTTTGATAGAGCTAATATTACGGGACTTAATATGTACTTAATATGTACAAACCCTCCACTATAGTGGAGGAGGCTCATAGTCCAGCAGTGGACTGTAAAGGGCTGTTGATGATGATGATGATGATAATATGTACTGAAAGCTTTGAGCGTTGAATCTATTTTATTGTCACCTGTGAATGAGGACCTAATCCTCATGTTTAGGATTATTGCATGTCGAAATATTTTTACTAAGGCTGGGTTGCACCATCTTACTTTAACTTTGACAAACGTCAAAAATCTGTCAAACTCCATACAAAATACACCGGTTGTCGTTAAAGTCACTGTTAAAATAGGGTGGTGCAACTCAGCCTAAGACACCATTTAAATTTTCTCTGCTTGTATTTCAAGAAATATTATCTATTCTGTTTTTCTTTCTATTAAACATTACTTTTACTCAAGTTATGAATGTGCAGGCAGTGTCATTGAAAGTTAACAATTAACAATTTTATTACTGATATTTCCATCTTCTTTTGAGTAAACATCTATAGTCCAGTCAATGAATGCCTTAACGACGGTGTAGAGAGAAATCCATGGAACACAATTTCTGACCTCGGGACTTTATTTAGCCTAGTTAGGTGGTGAAAATAGCAAAAGTCCCCGCCCTTAGCCCTTGAGCCGGCGGGGAGAGGGGGGTTTAAAGGTACCACTTTTCGATTTTTCGCTTAATCCTCGGAAACTATGCGTCCTAGTGACATGACTACTATGAACCAAAAAAAGCTTATTCAATTTCAACTTCGAGAAAGAGGTCAATCGTCGAATCCAACTCGGCTGGGCAGCGTTCGGGAAGCTACGCAATATACTCACGTCCGAAATACCGCAGTGTCTCAAGACAAAAGTCTTCGAGCAGTGTGTGCTGCCAGTGTTGATTTATGGATCCGAAACGTGGACGCTTACTATGGGCCTCATAAGAAGGCTCAAGGTCACCCAAAGGGCGATGGAGCGGGCCATGCTTGGAGTTTCCCTGCGTGATCGAATCAGAAATGAGGAGATCCGCAGGAGAACCAAAGTGACCGACATAGCTCGCAGAATTGCTAAAACCAAGTGGCAGTGGGCGGGGCACATAGCTCGTAGAGACGATGGCCGTTGGGGCAGAAAAGTTCTCGAGTGGCGACCACGGGCTGGAAGACGTAGCGTGGGCAGGCCTCCTACTAGGTGGACCGACGATCTCGTAAAGGTCGCGGGAAGAGCCTGGATGCGGGCAGCGCAGGACCGTGCATTGTGGAAAGCCTTGGAGGAGGCCTTTGTCCAGCAGTGGACGTCATTTGGCTGAAACGAACGAAGCTTTAGTATGCTCCAGTACATGTAGTATGTTCTATTTCCTGTAGTATGCTCTGGCGGCGCTCGACGCCACTAATTGCGCCACTAAGTGTGTACTGGCGTACACAGTAGGTACCTGTAGCATGCTCTAGTACCTGCAGTATGCTCTAGTACCTGAAGTATGCTCTAGTACTTGCAGTATGCTCTAGTACCTGAAGTATGCTCTAGTACCTGCAGTATGCTCTGGCGCCGCTCGACGCGGCGCGCTGTGCAACGCGGCGGGCGCGGCGCGACGTGGGTGACGTGGCTCTAGTACCTGCAGTATCTTATAGTACCTGTAGTAAGTATACTCTGGTACCTGTAGCATACTCTAGTGTACATGTAGCATGCTCTAGTACCTGCAGTATGCTCTGGCGGCGCTCGACGCCGAGCAAGTGCGGCGCGCTGTGCGGCGCGGCGGGCGCGGGGTGCACGGCCGGCGTGGCGGCGGGCGGCGACGTGGGCGACGTGAGGTGACGTCAGATCCACCTAATACAGTGCCCCTAGTATACTCTAGTACCTGTAGGAAGTATGCTCTGGTGCCTGTTGTATACTCTGGTACCTGCAGTAAGCTCTAGTACCTGAAGTATGCTCTAGTACCTGCAGTATGCTCTAGTGCCTGTAGTATGCTATAGTACCTGAAGTATGCTCTAGTACCTGAAGTATGCTCTAGTACCTGAAGTAAGCTCTAGTACCTGCAGTATGCTCTAGTACGTGTAGTATGCTGTAGTATCTGAAGTATGCTCTAGTACCTGAAGTATGCTCTAGTACCTGAAGCATGCTCTAGTACCTGAAGTATGCTCTAGTACCTGTAGCATGATCTAGTACCTGCAGTAAGCTCTAGTACCTGTAGCATGCTCTAGTAACTTTAGTATCTTCTATTACCTGGAGTATGCTCTGGCGCCGCTCGACGCCCTCTAAGCGGCGGCGTGGCGGAGGCGCGGTGGCGGGCTTTACTCGGTGCGTATGAACAGTGTAGGGGCGCGGCGACGGCGCGGCGGCGGCGCGGTGGCGGCGTCGTGTGCAGGAGCGCTAAGTATGGGCAAGGTCAGGTCCACCTTATACATTGCCTGTAGCATGCTCTAGTACCTGCAGTATGCTCTGGCGGCGCTCGACGCCGACCAAGTGCGGCGCGCTGTGCGGCGCGGCGGGCGCGGGGTGCACGGCCGGCGTGGCGGCGGGCGGCGACGTGGGCGACGTGAGATTCACTTAATACAGTGCCCCTGGTATACTCTAGTACCTGTAGGAAGTATGCTCTGGTGCCTGTTGTATGCTCTGGTGCCTGTTGTATGCTCTAGTACCTGAAGTAAGCTCTAGTACCTGTAGCATGCTTTAGTAGCTGTAGTATGCTCTATTACCTGTAGTATGCTCTGGCGCCGCTCGACGCCGCTGCCTCGTATTAGTAGTAGGTACCTGTAGTATACTCTAGTACCTGGAGTATGCTCTGGCGCCGCTCGACGCCACTGCCAGTACATAGTAGGTACCTGTACCATGCTCTAGTACCTGAAGTTAGCTCTAGTACCTGTAGCATGCTTTAGTACCTGTAGTATGCTCTATTACCTGTAGTATGCTCTGGCGCCGCTCGACGCCGCTGCCTCGTATTAGTAGTAGGTACCTGTAGTATACTCTAGTACCTGGAGTATGCTCTGGCGCCGCTCGACGCCACTGCCAGTACATAGTAGGTACCTGTACCATGCTCTAGTACCTGAAGTTAGCTCTAGTACCTGTAGCATGCTTTAGTACCTGTAGTATGCTCTATTACCTGTAGTATGCTCTGGCGCCGCTCGACGCCGCTGCCTCGTATTAGTAGTAGGTACCTGTAGTATACTCTAGTACCTGGAGTATGCTCTGGCGCCGCTCGACGCCACTGCCAGTACATAGTAGGTACCTGTACCATGCTCTAGTACCTGAAGTTAGCTCTAGTACCTGTAGCATGCTTTAGTACCTGTAGTATGCTCTATTACCTGTAGTATGCTCTGGCGCCGCTCGACGCCGCTGCCTCGTATTAGTAGTAGGTACCTGTAGTATACTCTAGTACCTGGAGTATGCTCTGGCGCCGCTCGACGCCACTGCCAGTACATAGTAGGTACCTGTACCATGCTCTAGTACCTGAAGTTAGCTCTAGTACCTGTAGCATGCTTTAGTACCTGTAGTATGCTCTATTACCTGTAGTATGCTCTGGCGCCGCTCGACGCCGCTGCCTCGTATTAGTAGTAGGTACCTGTAGTATACTCTAGTACCTGGAGTATGCTCTGGCGCCGCTCGACGCCACTGCCAGTACATAGTAGGTACCTGTACCATGCTCTAGTACCTGAAGTTAGCTCTAGTACCTGCAGGATGCTCTAGTACCTGCAGTATGCTCTGACGCCGCTCGACGCCACTAAATGCGCCACTAAGTGTGTACTCGCGTACACAGTAGGTACCTGTAGCATGCTCTAGTACCTGGAGTATGCTCTGGCGGCGCTCGACGCCGACCAAGTGCGGCGCGCTGTGCGGCGCGGCGGGCGCGGGGTGCACGGCCGGCGTGGCGGCGGGCGGCGACGTGGGCGACGTGAGGTCCACCTTGCGGCACCGCACGCCGCTGCCCTCCCAAGCGGCGACGGTGCCACACGACCCTGGCGTCGCTCGACGCCACTGCCCAGTATACAGTAGGTGCCTGTAGTATGCTTTGGTATATGTAGCATACTATAGTGCCTGTAGTATGCTCTATTACCTGGAGTATGCTCACGCGGCGCTCGACGCCCTCCAAGTGTGGGTGAGGTCAGGTCCACCTTATGCAATGCCTGAGGTATTCTCTAGTATCTGTAGTATGCTCTATTACCTGGAGTAAGCTCTGATGCCGCTCGACGCCACTGCCAGTACACAGTAGGTACCTGAAGCATGCTCTTGTACCTGCAGTATGCTCTGGTGCCTGTTGTATGCTCTAGTACCTGTAGCATGCTCTAGGTACCTGAAGTAAGCTTTAGTATCTGTAGCATGCTCTAGTACCTGCAGTATCTTCTAGTACCTGTAGCATGCTCTAGTACCTGTAGTATGCTCTGGCGCCGCTCGACGCCGACCAAGTGCGGCGCGTTGTGCGGCGCGCTGTGCGGCGTGGATGACGTCAGATCCACCTAATATAGTATGTTCTAGTACCTTTAGTATGCTCCAGTACATGTAGTATGTTCTATTACCTGTAGTATGCTCTGGCGGCGCTCGACGCCACTAAGTGCGCCACTAAGTGTGTACTGGCGTACACAGTAGGTACCTGTAGCATGCTCTAGTACCTGCAGTGTGCTCTAAAGCCGCTCGACGCCACTGCCAGTACACAGTAGGTACCTGTAGCATGTTATAGTACCTGTAGTATGCTCTGGCGCCGCTCGACGCCGCCCAAGTGCGGCGCGCTGTGCGGCGCGGCGGGCGCGGGGTGCACGGCCGGCGTGGCGGCGGGCGGCGACGTGGGCGACGTGAGGTCCACCTTGCGGCACCGCACGCCGCTGCCCTCCCAAGCGGCGACGGTGCCACACGACCCTGGCGTCGCTCGACGCCACTGCCCAGTATACAGTAGGTGCCTGTAGTATGCTTTGGTATATGTAGCATACTATAGTGCCTGTAGTATGCTCTATTACCTGGAGTATGCTCTGGCGGCGCTCGACGCCGCCCAAGTGCGGCGCGCTGTGCGGCGCGGCGGGCGCGGGGTGCACGGCCGGCGTGGCGGCGGGCGGCGACGTGGGCGACGTGAGGTCCACCTTGCGGCACCGCACGCCGCTGCCCTCCCAAGCGGCGACGGTTCCACATGACCCCTTCTCACCGTTTAGACGCTGTGAGAAGAAAGTTATTAGCATTTCAGTCATGGTTGCTGGATTATGTTTATTTATTTACTAGCTTTCCGCCCGCGGCTTCACCCGCGTGAAATTTTGTCGGTCACAGAAAAAATGGCAATGCCAGATTTTGTATGGAAGGTGGCGTCTTTTTTTTTTCGCGCGGCCATCGACCAAACTTTATTGCGCTATTTTTTATTGAGCTGATTCTGCTCCACACTGATGTCTGGAGCCTTTAATGGATGGTATTGTTTGTTTACACATACAATGTCACTATTTTGTTGCAATTTCTTACAAAACTTGCTCGCAAAAAGCAAATCTAGTATGTAAATCATCAAACTTCTAACGCTCGTAACTCAGTTCAGACTGAGTTTAGAGGTGTACATGTCATAGTAAGTTTGGTTTATTACACTATTTTGTAATCAAAAAACAAGGTGTGGTCGATGGCCGCGCGAAAAAAAAAAGACGCCAATTTCCGGCATTGTCTTTTATCGCCCGCGCCCCTGTTTCAAAAACCGGGAAAAAAACTATCCTATGTCCTTTCTCGGGACTCAATCTCTATACCAAATTTCATTAAAATCGGTTCAGTGGTTTAAGCGTGAAAGCGAGACAGACAGAGTTACTTTCGCATTTATAATATTAGTATAGATTTATAGAAACCAACAGCCTCGAGACATGTTGTATCTAAAGCCAAAGAACTTTATAAGCCCTTTTTTTAATGTTTATGTTCATCATCATCATTTTAACCACAGGACATCAATTGCTAAACATAGGCTTCGCCCAATAATAAGTCGGAACCCTTAAAGGGAGTTATGTTAGGCTAATCGAAGCAAAAAACCACAGAATCCCATCCCTATCATTACGACACGACCCGAATCGAGCAGAGGCACGTGACGCGGAAATTTTCCTATAATTACGCAAGAGGTCCAGGTTCGCGGTTTAGGAAATTTGGAAAATTATCTGTTCCAGTTCCTATTTTTCCGTTGCAAATTGGTTTCATGTACAACATACAGAATACGTAATCTTGTTTTTTAACTAACCGACAAGAGACCAGTTCAATGACATCGAAAATATTTCATAGTCACCCGAAAACCTCAGCAAAAAATTCAGTTCAATCGTACCCTAAAAAACGCTTAAAATTCAACTTCTAAAATAAACACCGAACACCGAAGCTAAAATAACCTTGCAAAATGGACGCATATTGTAATTAGAGTCTTGTCAACTGATCCTATCGGCTTTTATTTGGTGACTTTGGTTTACGGTGGCGGTTTGGGTTTGAATCCTTTTAGAGGAAAATGTTTGAATGTGATGAGTTATAGATTTTACTAAGTAACATTTACCTACACTTCATTATAACTATTACAAATAGCGATAGCGATTTATTGAACACCACAGTAAGTTAGAGCAGGTATTGGTATCTTTAAAGGTAGGTAGGTAAGTGATGATGATGATGATGATGATCCATCCGACCGATTTCGGCCATGGCGACCACTCCGACTCCTAGCTGTCTTGGCGGCGCTGGTGTGCCCGAAGATGGCTTACGTAGCCTATTTTCGCGGTAAAATCCCTCGCGCATTGAGGGCATCTAAGGTATGGTATGGTAAGGGCGCATTGAGGTAGGTAAGTATTGGTGTCTTTGATGAAAAGATAAATTATTTATTTCTTATCATTACAAATTGAATTTATTTTGTCACCCCGAAATTTAATTTAACGTTTGACTACTAAATTCCATCATCATGGCGACTAAATTTCAGTGAAACCATTGCTCTTTAATTTCCGTCGATTAAGTTTCTAAATTAATTCAAGCATCAAATTCCAGATTCTGTAACAGACTTTTAAAGCCGCTTTAGGCATCTATATGCCAGAGGCAGTAAGCGATACGTTTGGTTTATTTATCTCAAACCTATAGATTACCTAACTAATCGAGTTTGTTGCCTAGGAACCTTGGAGAAACGAGTGGAAATTAGATCCTTGTTACATTAACCCTTGGCTACTACTCAAAATATTTTTTACACGGTCACTACTCAAGGGTCATTTTGACCCTGCTATAAAACTTTGTATATCTTCAAAACTATTGCGGATTATGGAGTAAAACACATTATTTAATAAAAAGGGTTTATAATGCAATGACATAACAACTTGAATTGTTAACTAAACAGTTTGGACAAACATTAATTTGAGCATGTGTTGCAAATGGGTATTTTACACGAAGAAAAAACACTGTTGGGATTGCGACCTTTTTTATAGGGACAAATGCCGCAAAGCTTCCTTTTAGATACCACATTAGAGACAACTGAAACAGATCTTTCAGGCATAGGCAGTTTGTATATCCCTGAAGTTATCAGACGCAATTCTCTGAGAATCTTTACATTGCAAATTCGCTGCTGAGTGTAAGGTAAGCAAAACTNGAAGATAATTAAATACCTCTATGCCTGGACGTAGGTACATACATACATTTGTAATGAACAGTATTTTATTACATAACTAGCTTTTGCCCGCGGTATCACCCGCGTGAAATTTCGTTTGTCACAGATCATCATAAATTATAGATTATGGTTAGGGAGGCGAGGTAGCTAAATGGCGTAATTCAACGGCGCCGTCGAGACCTATCAAAATCGAAAGATAAAATAATTTCGAAAAGAAAAGCTCGTATGGCAAAAACCATTTTAGCGGTGGGTTTGGCGTGTACGGTTTTTCAAAAATGTTAAAAAAAACAGTTAGGTACTTGGGCATTCTCGAGCGCGTCAGATATTCATACTACGTATGCCCCGAGTGCCTCTGATAACAACGGTATACTAATTTGCCGGTTTGCGTGGTGGGGGTAGGCATATAAAGTAGTCAAAAATGAAAAAAAAAATACTCGAGCGCGTCAGATTTTCGGAAGGGGTGTTAAGTAGGCCCCAAGGAAGCTCCCTTTAAAAAAACTGACGATTTCGGCGTGACGATAAGTTACGATGAATTTTTGAAAATGCAAAAAAAAAAAAGTTTTTTTGAAATACTCGAGCGCGTCAGATTTTCATAGGGGAGGTTTAACTCGGTATCCTGAAAGCATATTTTTTTAATCTGACAAAAATGTTGGTGGGTTCTCTTAATCTGACCGAAAAAGGTTGTTTTGGTTTCTTTTTTTTCCTTTCTTTCTCCTTGATAAAATGGGGAATTTAAGAATGTAATAAAATTACCTTTTTTTTTAACCTTTTTGTTTATTTAAACTTTTTTTTTGTAAAATGTATCGTTCGCGACTTATATTGCGTAACGCGTTCTTAGGAAGACGAAATGGCTTCTCCACACTTCCGGTCATTCGGAAACCGGCAGATTTTGTATTTTTAGTAACTTTTAGATTATATTCTTCAAAATAAAAATAAAAAAAATGGCGCTCGAGCATGCCGGATTAACGTTTTTTTTTACAAGTTCACGACCCTATAACTCGGCGGCGTCAAGGACTTATCGTCAGATTAGTTAAATTTAGTCTTTAAACACTAAAATCAACCCCCCATATCTTAATCTGACGCGCTCGAGTATTTCAGACTATCCATTTTTTTTACTAATCTGATCGTCTATCCTAGGCGCGCGTCACTACATATAGAGCTAAATACTTTACAAGGTTGTCCTATTAGGTCTAAGGTATCTCTCATATCTTAAACTGCCACGCTCGAGTATTGCCGAAAATTCCCCTATTCGCCTCCTTTTAACTATTATATGTTATTCTGGGTTATATACAATAATACTGTAAAGTTTCATCAAAATCCGTTAGTTTTTGCGTGAAAGAGTAACAAACATCCAGACATCCAGACATCCTGACATCCAGACATCCTGACATCCAGACATCCTGACATCCAGACATCCAGACATCCAGACATCCAGACATCCAAACTTTCGCATTTATAATATTAGTAGGATAATAGCACATATTATTTCAACCTTATATGTGAAAGTGTTAATCTACTTGCTACCAGCGTGTCGTAACCAAACAACCATCAATTTTATTTATGTATTTAACAACTTGGGCAGTTGGCAACAAAATATTGTTCCGTTAGCATAGCAATTAGGTAACTAAACAAAACCCCAATTAGTTTTAGCAATTTATTTTAAGTCACCCTTTATTGTTACAAAACCCCTCACTGAAACTTCTTGCAGGCCTTTGGTTAATTGCTTCCGAATATTACGTTATGAACTTGTGCCCTAAAATTCGATATAATTTGTTTGCAAATTTCTTTTTATTTAATGTATTTTCCTCTTTATTAAGGACCACCGGTATAAACTTAATCAAGTTGCTAATCTTAAGATTGCTGTTTATAACGACTTCAAACAGTTGTTTTTGGTCCAGCATTTATTTTAGGGTTTTGCTACAAGTTTGCCTATAAAAATAAAATATTAAATGGTTAAAAAAGTATAGTCCAGAAAATTTAAAGCCTCGTTCACAAGCGGTAAATAAATTGCGTTAATGTGAGCTTTGTACCATAGTATAGACTCCAGAATAAATAAAGGGAAGGTCAATATCGTAGTCCTAAAATATACTACAACCACAGAATAATAATATTCTTCTACAACTTCTATTGGAAGTTGTTTTTAGGTCCCTATAAATTGGTAAGTAGATATTCGCAAAGTCGGTAAGTAATAGCCAAGAGTTTTCATGACTTTATTACCAAACAACCTGTGAAATTAAACAATCACTTTGGACTGTCATCGCGGGCCCATAAAAGTTTTATAGACAGGCTTAAAACATTTATAAGAGCGTTTAAATAAAATGAAGGGGCTTTCAACTTTCGTTACAATTTGGGAGACCACTGCAATTTAAATAAAGTTTGAAGGAATTTCCGTTAAGTCCCACATGACAAAACTATATAAGACAACTTAATCATATTTTAAAGTTTAAAGACTGTGATTTGAGAATTCGCCCAAGTTACTTCTCCCATAAATGACATGGATTTCAATAGACAGAAAAAGTTAGAAATGGTAAAAATGTCTCGGAAAGGATTCGTAGGAAATTGTTGAAAGTAGTGAAGTACTGAGAATGGCCCGGAGTGATTTGGGTTTCTTCTCAATATAGGGCATATAAATTTTCCCTTTGGATGTCACTGCCACTCTTTTCAGCAAAAAAAGTTCTTGAATTGCTTACAATTCAAAAAGATTTTCCGATTTTCTTTTTCACCATCTTTCAATACCTACTTGAAACAATAATTTTTAAATTTGTAATGTGGCACGAAAAATCTACTTCAAAAGGTACAGAGAGAAAGGTCTAGATTTTATCATTCTAATGATCCGAGTTCGAGCATATTGACAAAACTAAACACTCTACCAATATAAATCTTGTAATACGTTTGAAATCTAATAGAGTAGTTCGTTGTCGTGTGTTGACAGATTTGCGATTGATTAAACTTGACAGATCTGTTGGGAAATCGAGCTTCATCAATATTTCAACCAAAGGCAGTTCAATGCGTGTCCACTTCTCGACCTAAATTAAAATCTAGCGCGTTATTCATCTTTCGAAAAGATGGCCTTTCTTCTTTAAGTCATCGGTCCATCGAACAGATGATCCTACGATGTCGAGCTTACCACAGGTATGATCCTGGGCAGTTCCTGCGCCTTGCGCTTGTTCATCTGGTACTGCTTTTCCAGCACCTTGACGACCACGAACTCACCTAGAGTTGAGATCGTCTGTCCATCGAGCTGATGATCCTACGATGTCGAGCTTACCACAGGTATGATCCTGGGCAGTTCCTGCGCCTTGTGCTTGTTCATCTGGTACTGCTTTTCCAGTACCTTGACGACCACGAACTCACCTAGAGTTGAGATCGTCTGTCCATCGAGCTGATGATCCTACGATGTCGAGCTTACCACAGATATGATCCTGGGCAGCTCCTGCGCCTTGCTCTTGTTCATCTGGTATTGCTTGTCCAGCACCTTGACGACCACGAACTCACCTAGAGTTGAGATCGTCTGTCAATCGAGCTGATGATCCTACGATGTCGAGCTTACCACAGGTATAATCCTGGGCAGTTCCTGTGCCTTGCTCTTGTTCATCTGGTACTGTTTGTCCAGCACCTTGACGACCACGAATTCTCCGAGAGCCGCGAACACAAACATCATGCAGCCTGCCATCCATAGGTCTAGAGCCTGAAAATTACAATAAAATTTTCATGAAAATGGTCTGAATAATTTAAAATGGTATTTTAAATTAGTTTTGTTTTTAGTATCAATTTAATTTGTTGTAATACATTGCAAATTATTGCTCTTTAGAGTGGTAAAATCACTTGATTAATTTATTCGTGCTATCATTTCGTAATTTGGAGGACTTGTTGAGCTGAAAATTTAGACAAATCATACGACTAAAAGGTCGTTGAGTTGTGGCTGTTACAACGCTTATAACAGAATGTAGAGACCATGTATTGTAGAGTAACAAAAATTATTAATCAACTTACTTTCACATAAGCAACGGGAGGAATATCAGCTCTCAGTCCCGTGAACATGGTGACCAGGGTCAACATGCAGGTGACGAGCAGCGTGACCCTCCCGGGAATCGCGTCCAGGTCCAGCCAGAAGCTGAACCAGGACAGCATCACCACCAGGGAGGATGGAGCGAAGGTCTGGATGAGGTGGTGACCGATCTGACGCTCGAACCGAAAGTACACTACTAGTCTAGAGTAGTTTCCTGGAAAATTGATCGTTTATTTAAATTTTTTGGAGTAACATTACGAATTTTGTAAACATTGAACATTTGTTTTTAATTTAGCATGTTACAGACAATTTTCTCAGAAACTAATTGTACAAGGAGTTTGTTAATCCAAAATAAGACGTATAAATGTGAGATAATTTATTTTGTCTTTTTAAAATAAATTGAGTGTTGTATCAAATCAAAAAGCTCTTTGATAATGAACTAACGTAGGTACTTAATGTACTCTTTGACACTCTTAACTATATCTCACTCAAAAGTCAAATACAAACGTACTAAGCTAAAGCTAGGGCGTCTGGAAGACAATATTAACACATAGTTTGAAGGTTGGATTATAAATGATGTAACACATTTCACTTAGTGGTTCTAAACTGTAATAAACGACACTAAAGCTGAGTAGGGCAAACTTTATTGACTCTAAACTTTATCTCGAAGATGCTACAACTGTAAATAATTACGTAAAATAATACGGTGAATAAGTATTAAGTTTTCTGTTGGTTTTCAACAACATTAGCATATAATTTTTGCGTTATGAAAAATTTGAGATTTGCTACATATTATTCACACTAAAAAGTATTTTTATTTTCGTCAAAAAGATGTGTTATTTTAATGAATATCGCTCAAAGCCTGACATGCGAGAGTAGACCAATTTTACACAATACTCTGCAACCAATTTGAGTACGGTTTCCAACTTTATTTCGTGCAGAAGGGCTAACAAAGGAATTTGTAATTCGAATGCCCGTGTTAACGTGACCTTGCCACTTTGACTGCGAATGACCTTTGGCATTTACTGTATTGACACAAAAGTTCTAACACAATCACGTTTATTTTGATTTACAAGTTACCTATTAACAACGATATTTTTTATTAATGCTTTATAAGGTTGGTAACCTTATTAATATCGATTTCGTATAGCTCAAGAATAAAATGAAAGCGACGTTTGTGTCCAATATAGACTTTTTGTTTTATTTGTACTTTTTATATGACAATTTTGTGGGTTTGTCCTTTTGAACCTGCAAACTCCCTGTCGTTTGATTTAAAAAATAGGTAAAACTTCTTTTGTAAGGTCTGAAGTAGGGCTTTTACTTAATAATACGATCCAAGTAATACTAAACATGTTAAGTGTAAGGTAATTTAAAATTATCCCTTATCCCGGGCTTTCTGGTGTAAGTAACGTAGAAGTTTCTTACATAATTTAATTTACTTAGAAAGTACAGTCAAGCTCAACAAAGTGGAATCTTTGTACACGTAATAGGTGCTATTTTGCTACAAACTTTAGTCTCATGGCGACTGTAGGCGAAATGTCTCTGAAGTTGTTTAAACTAAACTTTAACAATTTCTGAGAATGTGTAGGTTACTCAACCAAATAAGAGATACCTAGTTAACCTCAACTTCCGAACTTTGTCCTTTGTAAATGTTATATCATAACAAGTGATACCACTGTGGGTAGTAAGATACTCACATTTCTAGAATTACGTTTAAATTAATTTATTGTGTGAGAAACAGTGTTTTCGAGGCAAATTTCATAAAGCGTTGTACAAGTATGAAGAGACGATGTTATTGTCTTAGTAATTTTGTAGGGAACAATTCACGGGGCAAGAAAGTTTTCAATTCCATAAATTTGTTTTGTATTTAATGTGTGACGAGGTTTCCCTGGCCAGAGGAGGCTACCAGTCAGGCTACTGGTATCACAATGTTTTTTTGTCGCGGAGGAAATGCTTTGCGCACCGTCACCACTGCCGGGAGACAGGGTGGTGTGTGGGACTCCCGGCGCTCTGAAAAGGGCGCTGCTCCGTTCTGAAAAGGACGGGGTATACCCACTAAAACCTCCGCGGCGTTCCATCATCGCCCAAGTGGGGGTGTCGCGAGTATATACGGCTGTAGCCTTAGACTTCCGCGACATACCGAAATAAGCCATAGATAGCCTTATTGACAATTGTCAATAAGGACTAATTACCGTCTTTGTCGATCATGTATCCATTAGTCTCCTCAAGTCTGAGCGGTTCGCCGATGTGGTATTGCAACAGCTTGAGTTCTGGGTTTATCGTCACCCCCGCCTCGCTCCACCGAAACCTCACCTTCTGATTGCTGTACGAAACTGAAACAAAAAAGTTATTATTCTATGAAAGTTTGCGACCTTATTTGACCGGCCACCGTGCACTGGCCGCCGAGAATAATATTTTAGATTTTTAATATATTTTTTTTAAATTCGAATAAGTCGAAATACCTATAATGGAACGTTTCGATAAAACGAAGTTCTTTTTTCCAATATTTGAAATCACAGATAAGCTAAATATAAATCAAGTTAATTCACACACAAACATTATTGGAATTTACATATTATTATATGGAAATATTATTTTCTGATGCTTTAAATAAGACGAACTAGTCTCATAAAAAACAAATGGTAACTGAACAATGAACATTTTTTATATTTTCTATTGGTCTTGGTTTTGAAAGGGAACACTTACAAATGCTTAGCATAAATAAATATGTAATTGGACAAAATCTTCACATATGTCTTATGTTTATCCAACCCTACAAAATAGTCTGTCTTTGTACCTGATCTTCAATGGAATCTGGCAAATCAAAGGACCGAAAAGTCCATTCAACTTTAGGAATAACTACAAAGAATAATCTTAAATTAGTTCAGCATGAAAGACTAATAAGCACAAAGTGAAGTGACACAGCCAAAACGATTATCGTTACTGATGTTTAAGATTTCTGAAAACCGATATAATAAAGTGAGTTGAGTGAAATATCGAATATACTTCTCTATGATCTGCCCACACATTGATTAATATAAGTTTCCTATAAGTTTCCGGGAAAAGTCCCGAATGACTATAAGTATTTCCAAATCCGGCTCCGATTATTGAAAAGTTGGCCCAATACCTGTTCACTTTACTTCGTCTTTGATTCTAATATTGCCTCAAAATCAATATCCTCGCGCGATATTGGGGATTTGACAATGGCTGAACGGAATTTTTTTGTTTAAATAGGATTCATATAAAAATTTTGAATAGTAAAAATATATACAATTTGACTAACAGTTTTTCATCATTATGATCGATCTATTTTGCGTCAGTCTACTATGGAACTTGGGTAGTCCTATGCAAAGTCAAATATTGGAGTATTGGCTCATTTATACTCTAATATTATAATAATTAACTTTTAAAAAAAATAAAACCGACTTCAAATGCGTGAACACAAAAAAATACTAAAAATTAAAAATATTGCGTATAAAAAAGTTCATCCCCAATTTTCCACCCTTGGGGGTGAAATATTTTCTTCAAATTCGCATGAAACCACCCTTTTGATAATACCTATTCAACAAAAAAATAATCGTTCAAATTGATTTATAATCGGCGGAGATATTGCGTATAAAAAAGTTCATCCCCAATTTTCCACCCTTGGGGGTTGTTTTTTCTATTATTAAATTTAAATGGGACCACCCTTGAGGTATTACCTATACGCCGAAAAAAGATTTGTTCAAATCGGTTCATAATTGGCGGAGTTATCGCGTAACAAACATAGAAAAAAAAAAAAACATACGGGTCGAATTGAGAACCTCCTCCTTTTTTGAAGTCGGTTGAAAAGGTAAAGTTTGTGTGTTTGTATATTTGTTAAACTGTAAGGGGTAATCTCAAGATCTGAACCGATTTTAAACATTCTTTCACCAATAGAAAGCCACATTATTGCTGAGTGTCTTAGGTTATTTAAAAAACCGAAAAATTCCACGCGGGTGAAGCCGCGGGCGGAAAGCTAGTATACAATACGCCTAAACTTACAGCTTTCAATGTAGATCGGACACGACTGTATGTCCATGGGGTAGAGTTGGAACTCCATCTGGCAGGCTATGATGGCGTGCATCCTCGCCGCATACCGAACTGTCTGGTTTCTGTATAGCGTAACCGATGAGAACTTGTGTGTCAACTCTGCAATTTCTGTGGGCAAACAAAATTACTTTTATTAAAGACTGGCTTGTGCCTGCGTCTTCGTAAATGTAGATTTCAATAAAAAATATGTGCTATCAATGCAATAGTCACTGGCAATTTTCTACAAATCGATGTTTTGGAAAAAACAGCGATTAATATTTGTTATAAACGTTAAATATTTCCATACAGGTATCAAACCGAAATTTATTTATTCTGTGCCGAAATGTACGATAATTATACCTAAGTAACTATTTGGTAGGAATGTTATAATCTAAATAGGTAGGTACCTATTACATTTCTAAATGAATGAGAAAATTATATTAAAAAGGTAGTCTAATTTTAATCAAGTTTGAAAAGTGACTGAATTTGCGTAGGTAGACTTCAATTTATTCGTGTGCAAAGGTTGTTTTCGTTTAATTAATTGAACTAATGAGTGAATTCGTTTCAGTCTGCAGCTTCAGCCATTGGGATTTACTAAGTTTTAATTAAGTATAACAACACTACAGACAGCTTCTGATTTTAATCCGACTTCTAAAAATACCAACCTACGCAAAGGAAATGTTTTTGGTAGGAATGTGATAATCTATATGTCACGGTAAAATTGTGGATTCCGTCAGATTATAATGTGACATAGTTCGATTGTAATCTAACATAGGTACTCTTAGTTTACAATCTCACGCGATAATATATTATAAACTGACGTAGTTCACGATTTCCATACATAATGTAGTTAATAACTACATTAAAAAAAATTTTTCATAAAAAAACTAGAATGGAATCGAATGGAAAAGAGAATAATTTATCAAAAGAACCATTTGGGCGTAAAAAACAATTGAACTCGATGCTTTTAAATTGTGTGTGATTTTTTATTTGATTTCACATTGAGTTATAAATTTTTTTTACCAGCACATAGATCACATGTTACAATGTTATCTGTATTTTCGCGTATCGTAAACTGGATTTTAGAATTAATAGAGCAATAGATTTTCTGATCAAATAAATGTACACTGAGCCCTTGGAAATTCAATTAGATATACACTGAAGAGAACTGCAAACATTAGCATTGAATAAATATAGCCTAATCCTTAAATATTATAAACCCAAAAGTATTTTTATCTTATTGATTTTAGAAATTAATACAATAGATCTCTGAAGTGATAAAATTACGTGTATTAATATTATTTTTAGGAAACGAAGCGATTGGCTGTACACTGGTGGCCGGATAAAGAGTTTTTAATGGAAATGTCCCTCAAATGCAGACGTGAATGTTGTTTAAAACTTGCGAACTCTACTAATTTTCTATTTTACACACCAACCGAGACACTTTCAAACCTCTTTCAGTAAAGTTCGTTTATTTATAGTTTCAATAAGTGTTCTACAATAGCCCAAAAGTTTAGGTAAGTACCGCCTTCCATCTCCCCCGACCGCTGAATATTCGTGGTAAACCACTCTTTACATAAATATTTACGAGAAGTTTACCCTTCCAGCTAGCGAGAATTCTAGTAATAATGCAAACAGTAGTAAAGAAAAAGTTGATATTTTTGATTTTGTAGATTCTATTGACTGCAGTGGATTCCTCAATGAAACCTTGGAACTCATTTTTTACCAATAATGTAATTTGAGATACCTTCTCAGCAACTAATCTAAAAGGTTATCTGATTAAAAGAAGCTTCCATTCTTTCAGCCTTCTTTTAACAAGCTTTTTACTTAACTAAACGGCGTAAGAAGGCATATAATCAGATGTCTCCAACGACATTGAAAAGTATATTAATTAAATCATGGGTCTTTGAGTAATTTAAGTGCACATCGCCTTTGGAAAACCTTTCAAAGATATTACTCTAATTGGACTTGTCGGACTCGAGTTTCAATACTTTCAAATCTTTCAATAATCAAAACCTGTAATGAATAAAGCGTAGAAGTACCCCTCAGTTTCAATAATCCTTTGACCTTGTTTTGACATTATTCGTCTAGAATTACTTCATTTTTGCCTGCCTGAATTTCTTAGTTATTTATTTTTATATGATATTTTACTAATATTTTATTTTTGTTTGGAATGCTAATCTACTTTTTGTATGTAACATTGATCATTCTGTGGGCCACAGTTAAATTACTATAGGTTATCTCCATCTACCTACTCTAAATCTTTTTGACCAGTCGAAACTATTATCGAATTCCTAATGCTTTTTACAATATTCTATAACTTTTCTGTTTCTCTTAAGTTTTGAACTAGCCTTTTAGTGAGAAGAGGTGCCCAAAAGACCTGAAATTCACTTAAGCATTTTAGCTCTTTTGTTTATTGAACTTTTAGGGAATCTGTACTATCTTCAGAGTGAGAATTTAAATTATTCCTGAAGTCTTTAAAAAATTAAAGTTGTTTTAAATTAGAGATGAAACGGATATCCGGTAACTATCCGGTAGGCCGGATATCCGGCCTAAATTTACTATCCGGCCGGATACCGGATAGTAACTCACTATCCGGCCGGATACCGGATATTAAAAAACTACGACAATTTTCTATTAATAAAATGAAATACATTAAACTTTGAGGTAAATATCAATAAAATGGCTTATAATAATGACGGTTTTTGTTTAAAGTCCAAAAAGTTACAAAAGCCATATTAAGGTCTTTCAAAAAATTAATTTCTCTTTCTGGGCTATTCACTCTAATGACGAATACATAAACAGTAAATATCTGTTAGTGTCGAAATATTGCCAAATAAAAAAGGCGATCTTTTTTTCACTGATGGTTTGATGACATGATGCATGCAGTTCAGTCAGATTACGCAACAAGTAAACTAATTTAATTTTCGCTATTCAATCACGCACGATAGCAACCGAAATCGCCCGTTGATCTGCCCCCTAGACAAGTGGCAAAATCTGACATTCTATTCGGACGGATTCGATTTTCGAAAAGTGTGACTAGTCTAGCCTACTAATACCCACTGATCGCCTTCGAAGCACTTGTGCGGCGCTAAACTCGTCACGACATGCAACGAGACTATGGGCCAACTATCCGGCCGCCGGATATCCGGCTATCCGGCCTAGCAGCTGGCCGGATATCCGGTATCCGGTATCCGGCCAAACAACTATCCGTTTCATCTCTATTTTAAATTCAACCGCTTCAATTTCAGAAAAATGTACTCTTTTTACCAATTGACATTGCAATAAGAACCACTCGCATTAAGCATTTTCTGCTCAGTGAACTCATTATGCGTGAAATAATTACATTTTTATATTTGCATATTGTGTTCATGTGCATTTGAGCATGCTATAATCCTTCCACAGTATAGTTACGAATAGTAGTAAGTCTAGTTGAGATATTCTAAAGACCTCATACAAAGTTAAAAATATACCTTACTGACTTTGAGAAGTTGCTTTACAATTTTATGGTGATATTGTAACTTGTGATAGTATAAATATTGAATCATCTTATACAACTGTGAGAGCCAATAGTAAGACAAAACTACTCGTTATTTTTAACATCGATATTATTTTGCGACTGTTGTTCCATTATTATTTTTGTCAACCGATTATAATTTCATTTATCATAGGCCTATCACCTTTTTACGATGTTAAAATTAGCGAGAATGGTGCGCCGTGTTGGGCTATAGTTGTAAGGCGTGCGCGCAACTTTACAGTGCCTTATGCGCACTTTGTGGAAATACCTACTAAAATCTTAATAAATCATCTAGCACAATTTCTGCCCGAGAAAGTCATTTTATGCTTTGACTAACTTTTAGGAGTTTACTTGAACCGCGTCGATTTAAAAACCTCAAGCAGAAATCACGCTTATAGTTGCCAGAGGATTAGGAGGGTGTTCTACTGTTCCAACATGCACTGTGGTCCTATTTTCATAATTATGCCAATAAAAACAAATCGTGATAAGTTTGTGCAAGCAATTCCTGCACGTGATTTGTGCTAAATCAAAGAATTCCTACCAGAAAATTGATGCCGGTAGTACAATCCTCCATCTAAAAATCACAAATTATGGTTAAAATGGTCTCTGGACTTCCTAATTTGTTTTTTTTTAAACAAAACCTACTGATACGCTTATTCCACAAGCTTATTTTTTACTGGTCCATATTCTCAGTTCTGTATATCAATTTCATTCATAAGAAAAAGAAAAGTACTTTAAGAAAAGCCCTAAATCTCTTGACTCAAAATGTTTTACACATTAAACTCGTACTAATTTTCAGAAATAATAACAACATAAGTAATGGTATTTTATGGTGTAATTTAAAAGACATTAGATTTTCAGTAAAATCAAAGGTGTCGTTGTGCTTGTTGCAATATAAAGAAGAAATATGCGATTGCGCTGTGAATAAAATCAAACGTCTTTCAACGACACCTGAACTTTCAAATAAAATAATTTAGTAGATGACAATATTCAATAATATTACCTTTAATGCCATAAACTACCGGTCAACCTTCTGATAAATATTAATAAAAACAGTCTAGCAGACGTCACATACATTTCACAAGTGATTTGATAGTGCAATTTCTTTATCAGGTAGTTCTTTATTACTCTTCATTTTTTTTCATTGCCTGTCCTTTATTTGCAAAGCAGACTTGTCAAGTTAGCGCTATTTAGAACCAAGTGCATTAGAAAGAATTAATTGTAGTTAAGGCTTTATAGGGACTATCCCACCTCTTAGTCAAAAGTTTTAGTTACCCTAGCTGGTAGAGACTTAATTTCTACAATAATATTTAAGATCTGAAAGACAGATATGGTCGAAAACACTCGCAACAACTCATTTAATAGTCATAGCATGGCAATGCTTAGAATGGCATGGCATGGCAAAACAAAATGTTGCAATAAAGAAAATGAGGTAAAATGGTTTCGATTGGAATTATCCACTGACACACAAAATATGAAGTGAATTCGTACGTAAAACTACTGTTTTAAAATAAATATTTTAACGGTACAATTCAACGCACTTTGACCAGTAAGCTAAATAGCAATTTGTTGGTTAGTAATAAAATAAACGCTGATGGAACAAACCTACCAGTTACTTTAGAGTTCAGGAAGTAAGGGTCAGGATGCCATAGGTTGTCGAAGAACTCCGGGGGCAGGGTCACATGGTCGTCCCCTTCCTCGAAGATATCCTCTGGCAGCTGGAGCCTGCTCTCCCTCCACGTTTGTCTGATAAACATGTCTACTCTGTGAAAAGGAAAACGGAGAATTTATTTATCTATGACTAAAATTTATGTAGAATTGACACCTACTGAAATGGGGTGTCGATTACATCAAATCGAATCCTACTTGATTTTTGTTTGGATAAGGTTAATATTTTTCCTAGATAAATAGATTTTCTAATAAATAAAACCTAATATCATTGATAACAAACTGTCAACAAAATTTTAAACTTTCGCGTTCCATTTCAATTATAAGCTCCTCCTTTTTTGAAGTCGGTTAAAAATAGTAACGGGTAGTAATAGTAATGACAATATGAGGGTAGTTGAAAATCTTCAAGCCCGCCCGAACGGACGACGCCGCGAGCCGCCAGTCTGCTTGTGACCACGGATGCAGCATCGCAGCCGAAACATCAAGCCGTGAGTAGGTACATAATGTAACTCATTAATAAACGTCGCGTTAAGACCCGTGTCTTACTATTTTAAACTGTCAACAAGTGTAGTAATCTATTTATTTTATTGCAAAATGACGAAACTAAAAAGTAACGTTGAGGATGTTTAGACTTTTCAGTTTCCGTTTAAGATGACGTTCGAAGTCCATTGGTTCAGCATAACTATCTAGAGCAGACAAGATTGAGGAAGAATAATAAACCGATAATTGTGACGAATAAACAATTAACCACAAGATTATATTCTGATAGAGGACATAAATTTAGATAGAGAACGATTTAGATAGCGAACTAAACGCCCACACGAAGCTTTTGTTGTTGTTGTTGCCTGCCCAAACCATTAACAGAATCCACTATTGAATGACTAAGTTGGGTATGTAATCGGTTAAAGGGCACGTAGACTCGTAGGTACGTAATTGGATAGGTATAGCAATTAAGTATAAAATTGGTTAGATTACAAAATTAACGAATAAAGACCATAAAACTAAAGGCAATCATAGTTGACCTAATCTGTAGCAGATGTTCTTCTTGTCGTGTCGATATTTCATGACTATTTTATTTGAGTAGGTACATTGAAATTAAACCAAATATTTGATGATGTCACAATTAATTCAATTATTGGTATTAAAACTTAAGACTGGATCTCAGTTTTAACAATAATATATATGATGCTTAATGCTTGATAGAGTTCTAACGATAATTATGAGAATTAACTTGTCGAACTCGTAAAGTTTTAATAAATGAAAATAATTTAAATCAAGATTTTTTTCAAATTTGCAGGTTGAGATTTGATTAAATATTGTGACAATTGAGTGTTAAGGAATATTGAAACCATCCAAATATTTAATCTCCTTATAAATTATAAGATTTGGAAAAGATAGATAAGTTTTAATTAGAAAACAACATAAAGATCTAATTAATAGAGATTGCTTTTCCAGAACCGTTGTAAGTCTCCAGTAGAATCTTTTAAACAAAAGGAATTTAGACAATGTCTGATCGATTGATAACTGGAATTCTTTGAGACAATGTTACAAAATCTTCAATAGCATTTTTCATCAACTTGATTGGTTTCATTGATCAATACATTCTAATACTATTTTGTGGTGACAATAATGGTAATTCTACAGTACAAACTTTAAGGCAACTAGCATTTAGACTACTTGTCATGAAATATATTTAGTAGTTGAAACTAACATTTATCGTCTCACTTAAGCCCTAATATATGTAGGTACTCGCGTAAATTGCCGTGGCTTAGGAGTTAAAAGATGAAAACAAAGTAGAACTAATCCCAAGTGGTTAGTTTGTCTGAGTTTCCAGACTTTGAAGACTATAGTTTATGTGAATTAAAGTCAAAAATGTTATACTTGAGATTTTTATAGTTGGGTTTTGAGGCGAGGTTTAAACGAGGTGTTTTGATTGATCGTATAAGAATAAGAATAAGAATAAGAATAAGAATACTTTATTCAGCATAGAAAAATAAAATAAAAATACAGTACATATAACATTAAACTACAAGCTATGCTGAAGAGGCGTCCGCTCAGCTATATTCGCGACATAACAAGCGCCATGTCGAGAAGCTGGTTTTCAGCGGGAACCAACACGATGAAGATTGCGGATTGCGCACCCTCTTGACCGGGACCATATTGAGGCTACCAGTCAAGAAGGCGCGCAACAGGGGGCGTTATGGACGGTGATCACAAAAAAGAGAGAGAGAAAAAAAAAAGAAAACAATATTAACACAAAACTAAACAGAATCAAAAACTAAATTAACTAAAAACTAATGTATTAAGAAATGCCACACCCGAGACACTAACAGGGGGACGCCACCGTCAATACCGAATCGCATGTTCCGCTATTCGCCACGTTAAAACTATTTACTTGAACGACGGTGGCGCCCCCCCGCCGTTCCGCCCATTTTACGACTGGTTTGCGATTACAAATTGCGCCTAGCAAATCAAGTTCCAGTTCAAGTTGTAATTAAAGTAAAAATATTATATTTTTACTTTAATTACAACAATAGACCGGGAAGGTTCACAGCTGTTCCAAAAGACAAAACAAAGTAATGAAGAGAGGTAAGCTTTTATAAATGGTTGAACCTATAGAAACAAACAACAAAATAAAATAACGGTAAAAACAATAAAATAACGATACAAGATACATGTCTGTAGCAGTTTGCAGCCGAGTGCGGAGCGAACGGAAGGAAAAAAAAAAAAAAAAAAGTCAATTGTCATTTTATTTTCCTTCCGCTCTCCGTTCACCCTCAACCATAATGTTAAATTTTACACGTTTTGCCACGTTAGAAAAGGTGGTGGTGATGTGGCGTAGTGGTAGTAGTCACCCCTACAACAAAGTTGGCCATGAATGCAGCAAGACCCTTGCATAGTTGCGTGTATCATCGAGCTCACATCTCGAGGGGCCGCTGCCACGACAATACAAGGCGGCATGCTGTGAGAGCAATACTGACGAGCACGATGTACATGACGCGCATAAACCCCTGGTGAGTGTTGGCAAAAAGTATAAGGGATATAACATTACTTAAGTGCTTTAAGTACTTATTGTTAATGTAGATGACTAATAACAAAAAAGGCATAAATAAACCTTTAAGATTTACATCTAACCTAGTATGAGTCTAACAGTACAATGGGGGCTAAACACGTGAGCAGCTAACGTCTATTTACTTACTTAAATGTATTTTATATTTTACATAGAATTATGTTTATAACATTGAAAAATCATTGAGTCAGGTATGAGTAGTAAGAAAGGAAGAGGATTTGTGTCAAATACATGGACTTGAAACGTTAAACGGCAACTTATTTATACAGATTAGTTTGGCAGTCACTTGCAAATTTTGAGAGTGCTGACCGGTTTGAACTGGCGTATAAAAAGACATCCCGGAGTCAATGATGATGTACTTCCCGGCATCGGCAATGATACCGAATTGTGAGTGACGCGGTATGCGCCGGCGCATGCTATGCTATCCATGTATAACATAAGTGGTAAGACAAACTGCTGCGATAATTCACAACGTGTTGTTAATTGTTATTTACAAATAATAACTACTAGTCCCGTTAATTCCTCGTGGTAAGCAATATGCTTGTGTTACGAGTGAGTTCACAACAATAGTCAAGAAATGGCGCGTTCCAACCCGCGTTCTTTAAATCTCGATTCAGCTGGTCCGAAACCGACACCGTTCGGCTGTTTCTAATGAAAGAATCTGAAAAGCAAATACATTTTCTATTTTAAGCGTACTATCCGACCGAATGCGCTAATTTCTTCCTCAATGTTGCTCATTTCTCATTTGGGAAGGAATTTGTGATTCCTTGAACCAAGAAACCACATGTTTACATAGAAGCTATTTTGGGCTTTTAAGTTTATAGCAACTCCTGTTAATACCATTGACATAAGCAAACATTACCTGGAATAAATACCTCCAATAATAGCTATAATTAGCAGATTACTCGAATTGGTTGGTATTGTAGGTACCCTCCGTAATTAGAAGGCTTTTACCAAAACCACTTTGATGTTATTTCTTTACTACGCAATGTTACTACTTCTTTGATTGAATTCAATACCTGTAGAGTAAGAACCACTAGACTTATTTTTAAGGTCCTTTAACAAATTTTATTCCAAAAGGTCCTGACACAATAATCTAACGTTCGACTAAACGATGGAATATGGAGCCAAGGATCTTACGTTCTTGGGCCGTTTGGCTTTTCGTCCAAAATACCTCAGTGACTAAAGACGAGAGTCTACAATCTATGTGTGTTACTAGTGACGATATACGGTTTGGAAACATGTTCTCTCACTATGGGCCTTCAAAATAAACTTAAAGTTGTTCAGCTGGTTATGGAGAGGGCTATGCTCGGTGTTTCTTTACGAGATCAAATCAGAAATGAGGAGATCCGTAAACGAACTATTTTTTTTATCCACAACGAGGAAGCTCTTGGCCTGTATCTCACCTGATGATAAGTGACGATCAGGCCGAAGGTGGAAGCGAGCTTCACCCGAAATCCTCAACCACGGAGGAACTGGCTATCTTACCTCTAACTGCCGGAACACAACAATGTTGTTAACAACAATATTGTCGCCTGCTTAAAATTATTAACAAGATGATTAAAGGTCGTGGGTTCAATTGCCACCTTAGCCAGTTCGATTTTTTCTAGTTACTTTAAAAATTAAAAAGATGATTCAAACACTTGCCTGAAGTCCATGTCTTCCACATTGATGGAGTTGACGTCCACCACGTAAATGCTGAACTCTACAATGACGGGTTGACCTTTCCGGGCGGGCGGCCGCATTTCTGAAAGCACAGTGAATTAATAATAACACCGTCTTCAGTTTTCTATATTGCTGAGCCAGAATACTGTTACTGATCAGTACAGAGCACGAATAAATGTCGTTCTTGTTATGGTATGAGAATCGTTTTTATATGAAAACCAGAATAGTTATTTATTTATTTTTATTTATTTATACTTCAATGCCAAAAATATTAACACTAGGCGAACTTAATGCCGTACGCACGCTGAACGCGGGTGTCGTAAGAGGCGACTTAGGGACTACACATCAAACAGAGAATGGGCAGCAGCGCTCTCTGAAAAACATCAATCTTTTAAACTGCGATCTCCAACCCGCCTGCCTAGCGTGGAGATTATGGCAAAACCCTCCACTATAATAATAGTGGAGGAGGCTCATAGTCCAGCAGTGGACTGTAAAGGGCTGTTGATGATGATGATGATGAACTTAATGCCATAAGGCATTCTCATTCAGTTTACCTTCGGGTTATGCAGAAAAATTAGTTATAGACGTTGAGGAATACGATTACGAGAACTATTCTTACTTGAGGTACTCGTGTTCCTTTGGGGTTCATATCCTGATGGGGGCAAATATTAGTGTGAGCAAGAGTAGGTATGGTTTAATGAAAAGGGTACATAGTGTGTACGATAACCCAAGCTATTTGTGTAGCTTGAGTTTAGATAGCACTTCACGTGTGTAATCTGATGTGCTATCAACCGTACCCTGAAAACGAATAATTTTCGTAGTCGTATATTATTCGCACCTATTCCTTACACACGGTTGCGTACGCTGTACTGTTTAGTATTTCACTAAAAGCAATGATCATAATATATTACCATAATGAAAACGATATTTATCATGCTCCGGGTACAGTACATTTCAGTGTCACTTTCATGACAATCGGGGAAGCAAAACGCTTTTATTAAAGTACAATTTGGAACATTCTCGAAACAACTTTCTTAGCGGGTTTCTCGTCGGTTGTTACATGATGCTACAATAAATTAAAGCGCCACAACCATGTACAATTAGAAAACAAGTAGGGACTTCAAGTAAGATAGAAATTTTTGTTTTGTACCTAATTGAAATTAATAAAATTATATAATAATTAGTAGATATTACAATATGGAATAAAAATATGAATAAAGCTAGATTTCTAAATACACTTGTATTTGATAAAGTCTAAACTACTACAGAAATGGTACAAATGTTACACAGTTGACAGGACATCATAAGAAAAAAAATCTCAATGGTTAAGACGAAATTCTTAATTTTAACGTTTATTTCAAGCTTATCATGGTTTAAAATCACTGACAAAATTTATTTATTTGGTAGGATGATGTACTGTTGACTGCAAATGTTGTGACTGTAGATAGTAACTTTATTTCGACTAGTGAACAAGCATTGTACGATGTTTCTACATTGGCATGAGAATCGGGAACTGATAATACTGACATAAAATACTTTTTGTTCAAATTGTATTCGTTACATCGGTCCTACTCATATCATAATGTGCTATCATTCCTTGAATATTACATTAGATCACAGCTCACTCAATTTAACGTTTAATGGCTTTTGATTAATCTTAATTAGATCTAAAACACACTACACGCTCAAGCCTCCAACCAAATATTTGAGATAATAGAGTGATACATCACCAACCTTTGACTTAAGTAAAATTAAGGTTTCAGGGAATTAAATGTTAATTAAGAGAACTTGTGTCTTAGAATTATTGGTTACGTGGGATCATAAACTTTGCTTTGGATATTTGTGTAAATTCGTCCATAATAAAATTATAAACTGAAGTAGAGTTTATAAACCCTTTGCTTTCTTTGTGTGACCGTCTGTGCGTGTTTATCGCATCAGATTCTATTCAGCCCTTAGCATGAAACATTATGAATGATTCGCTATGACTCAGGTGGAATTAAAGTAATCGGCCCCATCAAAACGTATTTCAGGAATCAAACACTAATAGCTCACTACAGCTTTCCTAGAATTGATATCGGGTTCATTACTGTAACCTGTATTTTAGTGCGTGAAGGTCAATTACGCTATTTCGTACGACGCTTGCGCGAGGTAATAATGTTTAGGTTTAATGTGTTTGGGGTATTGTTCTAGTATTTCAATTTATCAGCTACTATAATGTAAAATAAGCCTCCCGTCTGAATAGCGTGGGGAGCTAGTGTTTACTAAATCCTCTATTCGCCTTTGGTATATTAGAGGGTTGAAAAAGAAAAAAGGCACCCAACTTCTGGATGTAAAACACTCCATCAATGATCTCTCGCCCTTTTCATGTGGTCTCTGCCAGCTATGTTCTGGAGTTTGACAACGCAAGAATCACTTTGACACTGTTTTACTGCACTACTGATTGATTTAAACTCATACAATGGGTAATATCACTGTGACAACAGTTTTACGCAGCTAGTGATTTGATGGATGATGTACCTACTTACAATATTACTGTCGTATCGCAAGCGATCATGACAAACTTCGAGTTTAACATTAGACCTGAGATTTACTTCGTATTATGCGGATTAGTTCATCAGGCGGGTGACAATAAACGATGCGGAATTCTATATGAACTACACTGAACTGTCCATTGACAGGGGGTCGCCACCATCGTTCAACTGTATAGTTTCCAACGTGGCAATAATCGGAACGATATCGCGGTAGCGTCTCACTGTCAATGTCACGGGAGGGACGGTTCCGTGTAGTTCATCTATACATTGGGGTCCGGAATCTTGAAAATAAGGAACGGTTGGGTTCCAAGGCAATTTGTTATCGGGTTCGTAAAGATTCGTGCGGAAACCGGATGCATGTTGTCAAAGCCTTTGCCCAAAGCCGGATTTGGTAAACGAAGGAAAGATTTTCACGGTTGGTTAAACATTGAATATATTTGCAGAGATGTAAAGTGACTCAAGTCTTGATAGAATCGACGTTATTATTGTTAGTGAAATAAAAGTTAAAAGCATTAATATACTGGTGTTGCATTATATTCGACCATTGAGAATAATTTTGCATCTCTAGCTAAGCATGACATTCATCCAGTTAGAAATACAGATTTATGCAGTTACACGTGGCATGATAAGCGTGGCATTTGTTACTGAAAATATTTAAATAAACCTTCGATCAGACGGCGATTATTAAGCTCCATTTTTAACCGAATTCAAAGAAGGAGGATGTTCTCAGTTCAACTGTATTATTATTATAATAATTTTACGGTTTTACTAAATCGCTATTTCCATTTGATTTGAATGTTCCGACAATTTTTTTTTTAATATGATACAAAATAAACATCAATAAATAACACAATATTTAACTGTCTAAACAAGTGCCTCTGACATAAAACCGTTTTGGGACACGACCTCTTCTGTGACAAGTTTGGCCTGTACCAAAATCCTCCTTGGTAACAAGTTCAGACAAACGACAATGAATAATTCGAACACGGGATTGCTTCGCAACAATAGGCTAGATAACAAAATTTCAATTATTTGTCTGTCAGACAGATAATTACAAAATATTAGACTCATATTTTTAATTTTCTTTCATAATTAAATAATAACAGTGCTACATCGAGTTGAAATGGCGCGATACGTGACGCTTGAGTAGAATTTTTACTCAAAAGTGCACGCGACATTTCAACTCAGTATAACACTGTAATTATTCGATTATGGAAAAAAATAAAAAATATGAGTCTAATATTTTCTAATTATCTGTCTGACGGACTAAATAGAATTTCGATTTCATTACCCAGTCATCATCCCTATTGTCACGTTTTTAGAATCCTTTATTACCGTTTCTTTAGCCGATAAAATCTCGTTTACGAGAAAGAAATCGCCGTTTGAACGTAGCTTTCAGTGCATTTTTGCATTTTTTGTGCATGCTATAAAACCAACACTGGCAGATTAAAGTTAATGCATGATAATACCTGATTTACCTTTTACATAGCTCTCTGGCAGAACCACCCTGGGCTTTAGGGTAAGATTCCTCTTCGAGACGACGTCATTGCACAACCTGAAAGTAAAAAAGTTCTGGAATTAACATACATAGTACTTTTTAAATCATCTGTCCCTGTAGATAACGTAACATGTTTTAAAGTCTAGACAGGCTAACTTTAGGGACATCCATTCATCACGAAATCAAATCTGTCATAAATGTTACTAGTTACGGTTTCTGAACAAAAATTTGAAATGTTTCTGGAAAACATTTTAATTCGGAGTAAATGTAAGAAATTTTCTATGGGATAATAGATTAGAAATATTTACTTGTAGATGGAGATATTTTTACATTCACTTAGGTAAGTATACTTTTATAAAGTTTTCAAAGATTAACGCAGATGAAATTAATATTGCTTCTGCTTACATAATTGTTAAAAATTAAGTATATTATGTATCCGTTCATAAAGTATTCTTTCCATGTCGTAGCTACCGTCGTTTACCCTTCAATACCGTTCTGTTAGTATCCATCACCTGGTTCCTAAATGATCAATATTCATTGCTATGTTCCTTGATTAGATCCTCATGTCACAATTGAAATATGGACCAATGAGTAAGAACATTTGTACGTAATGTGAGCAAATCACATTAACTTTGGTTAGTGACGCCCACATGGACTTGTGACTAGTTACATTGTTTAGAGTAGGTATTATTATAATCTAGTTATACCTTTGTTTTAGTACTGATCTTCTAACCACAATAAATTGATCTGTCTACTACTAGTTTTTAACTAGGTACTAACTATTAACAATTTCCAGGGTTGCAAAAAACACCCTTCTGTTCTGTTAGTCTCTTCAACTGTCTCAGATATTTTTGTCACAAACTATTCAATTAACAGAGATGTAGTTTTGCCCAAAACTTCTGAACAACTTAATTGATAAGCTTTAATTCACAACTGCAAGTAATTCACTATAACTGATATACATACATTTTTGTTTCCAAATTGTGACTTACTGTATAAGTTCAGCTAGTGTCAATTATGCGTACCTATAGTTGACCTTCCTACCTACACAGGCTGTAGGTATGTTCAAATCGAACAAATTTGAACATTCATTTATCAGTCTCCACTGTCCATCCATGGTCCACAACTTCATATTAACAGACGCCCACACTTGAAACAATAGCCACGTGTCTCTGTCATGCATTTATTAAGTCACCATCTTTTCTCTACGATGCTCACATCTATTGTTTGTCCTCTTCAAACACATTTGCACAAATATATTTCAGTCCCGGCTATTTTATATTTATGATGAGTTAGGAACAAAGTTTGTAGTCTAAAAGTAAATTGAAATGAACAAAGTGCACAAAGTGAATGGGACTAATTCACTCTCCTACGCATACTCTACAATCAAATACGAGTACCCAAACTAGATTACAATTATTGAAGAAACAGAATAACTTTATCTAACATCTCTGTAGTCCTGTTAGAGCTTAAGCAAAAAATCCTAAGTTAAGTACCACATAATTTGTGGCAATCGATCAATACAAGTGAAAAATGTAGTGGTAGTCCGATTGTACCGCTGCCACAGTTAACGCATGCTTTTGATGTGAACACGTGACCCAAAGGCATTTTATAACTTATGAATTGCTTTTAAAATAGAGCTTATTTTAAAATATCTAGCTGCTATAACATTAATACTACCATTTCGTAAACTAATTTCACTTTTCCGCAGAAAATAAAAACCTACTACATTCCCACAAACGCTGTAAATTTTTTAACAACAGACAGTAAAGTAAAAAAGCTATGTTCTATACAGACTGAATGCGGCTTGTCATTAAACAAAGGAATATGAATTCTCCACGCAAGCTGTAAGAGCTGTTATAGCTTTGCCGGTTAGCTTAGTTGTTTTTGAGCTATGACGTCAATGAAAATTGTTATTATTCCAACATAGCGTGTATTTAAATTTAGCACCAGTTTTAACCATTGGCGTGCTTGTAACCTATTTGCAGGAGGCTAAAACCGAAAGTCAGTCTAGGAATAAAGTTGGCAAAACATCGTCCTTAGGCTCTGCTAAAATGGAAATGAGCTGGAAATTAGAGTGTAGCGTAATTTGCTGTAGTTGAATGACCTCCTCTATCCGTTTGACGTCAGATGTCCTTTGTAAAAAGGGAACAATAAGCACTTATCTAATATGTTATTAGCCATCTATTGGCTGATCTCAGAACAAATAAAGCACATAATATTCAGCAGGGAATGGCTTTTATTGATCGATTTCTAGACACCATAACATTTATAAGGGGCAATTTCGAAATAGAGTTAAAACTGTCACGAATTGTACTCAGTCTAAGCCTTGGTTTCCACCAAACAGGAGCGGAATGGAGCAGAGAGTGTTTTGAATAAGGCCCGGTTTCCACTAGTGCAGTGTAGAGCGGAGAAGAGTTTTGAATAACAATAAATTTGGAAAAACCAAACCGGTCCGCTTTGTTAGAAATCGGGGAGAAACACTAAGGTGGGCTGTTGTCGTTAATTTTGTGGGTAGGTAAGCCGCGAGCTATTTTTGTCATGCACATTTCGCCATGTGAAATTAAACTAGGCACTACCATATTGTGTTGTGACCTTCAGGTTCAAGAACTAATGTCTGACTTAAAAATAGTACATCACTTTCATTGCATGTTGATAGGCTCCAGTTGCTTTTGACGCCCAAATTACAACTATGCCCAAGGTAGCGTTTGGCCCAATAATAATTAAAAACATGCCATGAAATGGCACTGCGAGCTATGCATATTAAGTGCACGCCACGATCGAAATAAAACATAAACATCACATCAATTTTACGTTTGCTTTGATGGATAAAAAATATCCCTTTCAAATTGCAAACTCAATTCAATCCAAAATACTGTGACGTATTCCTTATACGAGTACGTTCACGAGTTCCCAGGGATGCATTCGGTGGACCGAATCACAGATTACTTTGGGAGAGTGCACCCGCTGCATTGCCTGAGTAACAGCATATTAGATTTGTACCAGGATTTTAAGGGAAAACAATTTTGAGAATTGCTTTGGGACTACCGATTTTGTCTTGTGGATCGGTTACCGTTCTATTCAAATGATTAGAAGATATTTTTGGTGCAGTTTTCTGATAATTTTAGACTCTTTAATAATAAATATACTGATTTTTGCAAAATCCCGCCTTAGCACTTACCTACGTTCTAAAATGAACCCCCATGCAAAATTTGAGACTCCTAGCACAAATTCTGAGATTTCGTGATGAGTGAGTCAGTCCTTTCGCTGTTATAAGTATATAGCTCATGTTATTATACCTCTTAAAATGTTATTTTGGTCTAACGTAACAATAATGTTTGAACACGGGGTTTTGATGTAATGAACGGGTGATTATGGTTCCTTTGAATAGGGCTTTACACAAAGGAACATCTCAATTAAAATCTCACGAGATCAAAATGGAAATTAATTAGTTTGCGAAAGTAAACTGATCCGGTAAAACACATGCCTACTTTAACTTTAGAAGTTTAGCATTGGTGTCAGCAGCGGTTTGCCGATTCAAGGATATAGCAATTTGATAAAAATAATGTCTACATACCTGCTTGGTGTCTTAAAAAACACGACACAAAAGACACTGTATAAATAAATATTTTAATCATACAACTTTATCTACGTGACAGTAAGCGACGTCTCTGGGAGAAGTCTTTTTTAAATAAATCCCAAATGAAAAAACTTTTACAGGTAAAACTTATTTGCCTTCATGAATGTAAAGAAAGAACAAAATTTTGTAGTACAATTATTGTAATATACAAAATTCTGGGACTTCTTTATTTCCTCGGGGATTTATAATACGTATTAGCCTAGTCTAAACTTAATTTCGGTTACTTGTTTGGAGTTATAGCATTAGTAAGTTAAGTCAGGGAAATACTGAGGTGGCAGTCATACAGTGCGATGCCGCGATGTTTGTGTATGAAATAATATTAAAGTTTAAAATTAATAAATGTTGATAGCTTTCCTAGATTTATTTAAGAGACTATAAATGGTAAATCGTCTTTAATTTTGCTAACAGGGACAATCTATAAGAGATACCCAAAAAATACGAAAACGCAGTCAGTCAGGGAAGTTTTGAAATTTTTCATCATCATCAACTTAAAACCACAGGACGTCCACAGTAGCCCCCCTAGACAAAACGCACTTTTTGATCGAATCGAATATCGAATCCGTCAAAACTCCATACAAAAAAGGGGCTTTTCGACCATTTTTCGACTGGTTTGCGATTATAATTTGCACTTTGTCTAGACCCACTGGACATAGGCCTTTTCTAATGGTTTTCAGATTGACAGGTTGCAATTTTTATAGCTTTATAATAAAACAGGACACTTTCTTTATTTCAGTTGCCAATACAAGTTGCGTAATAAAACGCATCGTGTCGGTATACCCTAAGTATTTCAGGCCAAGGCGACGTCATCGATTGGACAAAAAGCGAGGACTAAGTACAGTCACAGCGAAATATCTGCCTCAATTTGTATTTGCAAACATTAAAAAGAAATTTGAACTTTTTTCTATTTCAAATATAGACAGTTTGTAGTCATCTCAAAACTGGGTAAATTAATGTCTTTCACACTTTAAACTTTTTGTAAAATTCCTAAAAGTTATTTATTGTAACTAATATTTATCAGACTCCAAACTTTTTTTGATAAAACCATCTCTCGCCACGCCTACGGACGGTCTAGTTCAGCGGTTCCCAAACTTATTTTGTCTACTGCCCACTTTGAGAATAAATTATATTTTAGCGCCCCCATTTTTGTAGTCAAGAGTCGAGTGCTCAGTTGGTGTCTAAGAGTCCTCCTAGTAGATGAAATTATAAATCCGGGGTTAAAAATTTTTTTTCCGGGGTCTCTTACCGCCCCCCTTTAAGCCTGCAGCGCCCACAAGGTGGCGTTATCGCCCACTTTGGGAAAGACTGGTCTAGTTCAAAAGTAACTTGTAGTGACAGTATCAAATAAATAAATGGTCTTCTATTTCTTCGGATAGACAATGTAGATACCTAATTCGATTTATAGCTTTCGGTCCCGAGT